TCGATTCTTTCTCCCTCCACCTCTGATTGAGCCATGCTCGCAAATCTACTTCTTCTCCTGGTAGTTGTTCAATTGGATACCTGAAATATCCAATATCTCATTAATATAACATGAATTTTCAGTAATGATGAATTATCAGACATTATCAATCATGATTACCAATGTAGCTAATATTTATAATATTACAGTGCAGCTGTAGGAATATTGCACTTAAATACAAATTGCCTCCCGTTTATACCCCTGGGGGAATGATGTTAGAAAAATGCTATAATTTCTTAATTTTCTGAGTAATCCAATGCTCAGTTACTAACTTCCATATTACTCACTTCGCAAGCTAAATAAGTAAAATTATATTCTACAAAAATTTAACTCGACTTTGATACCAGGCTAAAATTGGCCTTCGAACGAAGAACGAAGTCAAAATTAATAAAGCTTTATACAAACATACATTTCCTAGTTATGTTTTTTATTTTATAAACTGCTGCTTTAATTTGTAAAAAAACTTTACTAGAAAAAATATATAAAATTCCAATCTTACGACGAATGACTAACGAACAGAGACTTTTTTTTTTAATTTCATCATCATCATGAGCCTATTAATGTCTCCATTGCTGGGGCACAGGCCTTCTCTTTACTAATTTGCTACAGAACAATTGATACATTCCCGAGTCCCGTCCGCTGCCTGGTCCACGTGGATTTTTTTTCTAGTAAAACTTTTCTTTAGATTTAAACATCTAGCAGTTAAAAGCTTAAAAATAAATAAAAACAAATGATACATTTTCAAATTTCTGCCACCAAACTTTCAGAAAAGCTTTTAAAACCCCCTTTTTTGTCTCCTATGGTGATGAATTTCCAAAAAAACAGCATTATTATTTTTTTAATAACCAGAAGCTCTCCCTTTACAATTTTCACATTTCTATCGTTCCTATTTTCAAAACTGACGAAGTCATCCAAACTTTCTTTCGACTTTTCCGTATATCATTTCTTGGTACTCATTTACGTTACTAAAAGAATCTTTATACAAAAAAAGGTTCTAGATTCAGAGGTTTGGCTGTGCATTGATCGATCTGTCAGTCAGACAACCAGTCCGTTTCTTCTCCTATATAATCCGTATTAATAATAAATACGAAAGTGATTGCGTTTCTTTTACCTCTTCACGGTTTAGCCCCCGAAACGATTTAGATAATTTTTTGGTATATTTAGTAGGTAAAGGGACTTTGACTTCGAGCGCTGGGAATGGACATAATAATGTCCTAGCTGGTATGATGATTTCTGTGATATAAATTATTGAATTATATATAAAAATCATCAATTAAGGGGGTGAAAAGGGTGGTTAGAAGTGTGAATGGGAAACCAAATTAACCAACCAGGTGAAGTCGCCGGTACCCACTAGTATATAGGTATAATACAGAAGTGTGCATAAACTTCAGAAATCCTTAAAAAGGTGTTTATTTACCTCTTAAAGTAGAAGTGTACATTGCTCGGCCAACGCCCGCGCAGTAAGTCGATCTCTGTCTGCGCCGGCGCATCGTACTGCACAGTAACGTCATATACGGAAGCCAGCCCCGCGCCCCGCAACCGGGCACACAGTTCCGCCCATCCAGTGGTTCGAGGGTGCATTACGAAATTATAGATCTGTGAAATTATAGGTACTTAATAAACATTTTGTTTTTAACAAGGCCTGCGAAGAGATTTTGAGAGCTTTGAGTTAAGATGCGGCTATCAACCAACAATCACCCTCACCTTTCTGACCTATTGCTATAACTTTATTGCATTCTAACATTTTAACGTGAGGCACATTTGAGGTAAATAATTTACAGAACTTCGAAGTTATTAACAGTAATTATTACTCTAAGCGGGCGTTCATTTGTTTACCGTGCCAAGGGTTACCATTAAGGAATTTGAAAAGTCCTGACATAACACCTGACATTTCGAAAAAAGTCCGGACTTTTTATTCACAAAATGTCCGAACTAACCCGGACGGATGGTAACCCTAACCGTGTACTAATATTATATATAAGCCCTATATATATATACCTTGCTACATTTCTGTTGCTAAGAATATTATATCACTTTAACTTAAGGAATTGATTCGCACGAAAAGTTCGTGATTACGTACAGGTAAATTATTCGCCGTTGCGTATTTCTCACTTCGTCGTTTGTTCTGTTCGCTCAAGTCAGTCCCTTCTGGGAACAAAATGAGCCGAAAGGAAGTGCCCATCTTTTTGTAGTAGTCCACAAACTGCGTCAAATTCAGCTGATCCTCTTGCCAGCTTCTTTTGATATAAAGAAAATAGTTCAGTTGCATCACCCATCCTGAAAAATTAAACGTATAACATAAATCATAGGAAATAAACAAGCGGTTATTAGTATCGTAACGCGCTAGCCACTTTGCTATGAACAAAACAAATACTACTGATGTTGCTTACTTATACCTGCTTGAAAACTGCAATGAATCAACATCTTAACATAAAACATTTGTACCAAAAATAAAAACAGACCATAAAAATTAACAAAACCACTAAAAAGTAAGAAAAAATACGATTCTTTATAAGTATATAAAGAATCGTATTTTTTCTTGACTTGGAGACTTTAAATGTAGTTTAAAGTCTCCAAATGTTACTTTGACTTCAAATGTAGTTTAGATTTAAGCAAAGAATTGTATTATTTCTTAATTTTTATGAAGCCGGTTTTTATTTATTACCATCAAATTCAATCAGTTAAAAAATATTTTACCATCCACTTTTTATTTGGCTTGCATTATCTCTATCATATCTCTTAAAATAACCAAAAACAAATTGAGTGCTGTTTGTTATTGAGTAGTGTTTTCTCCAAAAGTACTCATCAGATGTTCACCAAATTAATATGAGACAATTTCGCTAAAACCCTGATTGATTCAAACAAAAAAGAATCACAAAAACCGGTCCGATGTCTCGAAAATATGCGCGAACAACAAAAATAGGAACCTCCTCCTTTTTGAAGTCGATAATTAATAATTCAAAATCTCGTGCGCACCCACACAAATTAGGAATTCTGACACTTTTTATACATTTCCCGATGTAACACTATGGCATAAATAAAACAAAAATATGCTACGATAAGGCTTTTAATAAAATGATGAAATTAAACTTTTCAACAAATAAAAAGCACTTACCCAATCCTGGTACTGTCTTCAGTTCATCTTTCAGTACAAACTTAATTTTAGATTTGCCTCCTGACAGAGAATCCAAAAAGTCTCTATTTTGCCTTTCCACAGTTAGCTTGTTTTCTTTGCAAGAACATACTTCTGTATTAGGATCTTGCATAGCGTGGTACAATCCTATCCAAACATAGTTCCAGTCAATTCTTGTGCGATGATTAATAACCATTATTGTTTTTTCATCGGGGTTCACATAGTCTCCGTAATGGTGTAATTCAGTGTTACAAAAACACTGAAACAATGCCTAAAACATCAAAACAAGTCTTAGGTAATTACATATAACGCATAACTAGATACTTAACTTAGCTTCTTGACTCTTACTTACCACCGGATAAAGTTCCCAAAGTGCAAATAAGACATCCACTACTTTTCTATACCATCTTTGGTTCAAAAACATTATATATAATGTGGGGCAATAGAGAACATAAAAACCTGAAACATTAACAAATAAATACAGAACATTATGTAGAAAAACACATTTTTTAAGCAAATTCACGATAATCATACAAAAAAAATTTAAAACTTAGGTACCTACTTCTTTTTACAAATCTTAGTCGTATACCAGCTAAAGTATCAATAAGTGAAACAGATGTGACAAAAAGCAATCATAACTAAAGTGTTTCAATTTAATATTTACAAAAACAGAGTTACAAAATAACAATTGAAATATTAATTGGGTCTTACCGGCAACTATGGTGTAGTACCAAGCGGTGCAGAGCAGGAGCCCTGCCGCCATGGCGCAGCAGGCCGCAATGCCTTGCCGCGAGGGAAGCCTTGCCCATGCTCACAGATTAGAACCCCTACGTGACCCACTAAACCCTATTACATCGCAGCCCAGCTTAACACACGTTACTCAATCGTTTCATACTTGTAACTATTTAGAGTTTAAGGGTACCAGTATACTAGGAGAAACTACCCTATAAAGCGTTAAGCGGATGACAATTTTATTATACTGCGCTTAAAACAGCACAGCATATATTAGTTGTATATCAAATACTATTAGTATTTCGAAGAAGTTTTCGCACTATTTCGTAGAGTTAATGCTCCTATTTTTTTAATTCAAAACTTGTTAGCAAACACTCGGAGGCAAAGTCAGTACAGCGATATGACCCAAGAGTCTATTATAATGGACAATTGTAGATTCAGTAAAACTAACATTTGATAATCCTGGATACTTTGTTTGTAATGTATTTCCGCATCCGCATAATTAATAAAAAATATAGTACTTAAACTACTGGACACCAGCAAATATTTCTTAACAAATGCTATTTCAAAACGAGATATACGAGTGTATAGTAAATAGTGTTTTATTTTAACTTTTTAAAACATATAAAAAGGCCAATGGTACTATCGGAATCGTAATAGAATTATACAATATATAATAATAGAAGTAATAGTTATAAATAATCATAGTGAAGAAGAAGACACCCTCACCATAAAATTAGTAGTAAGAGATACTGTTTCATTTGTTTTTGAATTTCAATTCTGAAAAAGTCCTAGTGTCGTCGTACCTCTTTTGTCCCTGATGTCAGTGTCCAAAGTCTGTTTCCCAGGAAGGTAGTCGTTGATGATAATCTACTTCCTTTATTTTATTTTTATTAGTTTTAAATGTACCTCGTCAAACTTTAATGTATGTGTAATTAAATGCATTAGGATCGTATGTCATATGAAATTAAAGCAACTTGGAACTGTTTCTATGCTGGGAATATGTACGATGGTTATTAAATCCAGATCCTTGTAGTAGGCTAGTTAGGAAAAACCAACTAACATCTATACAAACATTCGAATTTGGTAGGAATTATTAAGATTGTTCAGCAGTCACTGTTTCCGAAACTCGCACCCATTGCCTAGATTTCCGTTTTGCAAATGCTTCTCCCTCTTCCATATTCATCATTAATTCACAGTTCTTTGTCTCTGGCAAGAAAATGCAAAGGATCGCAGATATCAATGGCAAAATTCCAAAAGCTACGGGAGCACACCATTGCCCGTAAGGTCTGAAGCCTGCTACAAATGGTGCTATCATGGAACCTATTCTAGCCATCATCGAAGACAAGCCGATAGCCGCGTTACGGACTACCGTTGGAAACATTTCCGAGCAATACAAATACAGAATAACAAAATTCATATAGTTGAACAATACACCGATGATCCCAAGAACTTGAGACGCTTTACCTTCGGGGACAACAGCCAATGATAATAAGCAAATACTTGTTATGACATTCGTAAGAATGGCAACTGTTTTTCGATTCATGAATTTAGTCACAGGAATAATTATGATGCAAGCAGCTAGACACACGGAACCGCTCGCTAAAACATTAATATATACATCGCCAGTTAAATGACTTAAATAAAGCGTTATCCCGTAAAAACAGTAGCTACATGCAAACCACGAAAATGACATAATTAAGGAATTTCTTCTCAAATATGGAAAATGAAATAAGTCTAGTAGCGAGCCTTTCTTTTGACTGTTGCTTTTATGTTCTAGCTGGTACATTTCAATTTTATTTTGAATATCATTAGTTGGTAAGTCATTCCTGTAAATAAGAAGAATTTTTAATTATTTAATCTTATGTATTTATGCGCAGCATTTTTCACACTAAATTAAACTTACACTTTGGCGATTCGTTCCATCAAAACTATAGCTTCACTAGTTCTATTCACAGCAAGCAACCACCTCGGCGTTTCTGGCAATATGCATATATAAGACAGTAGAACAACATTAGAAAGTGATATTGCCAGCAAGAAGTACGTGTAATCTCTTATAAAATATCCGAACAAAGTCAGACACATGTAACCCACTGTAAAAGGTACGTGAAATAATGCTGCCACCACATCTCTGCAATTGTTCCCTACGTATTCCATTACTATCACAAACCCAATCACCATAATACCTCCAACGGCACAACCTAATACTGTTCTTATTGCAGTAAAACTCCAATAATCGGGTAAAAACGAAGTCATTACTCCAAAGAATACTTCCAAAATTACTGATACGGTGAGGGTGATCCTTCTGCCATACCTGAAATAATTTTTAAAAGCATTACCTATATTACGATTATTGCTTTTTTATTTATTTCTTTAATTATAATGCATAAAGATTGTACATCTAAGCAACACAAAAAATCTCATCATCAAATCAAACCGCTTTCTGCGACTTTCCAGATATAGGTATAAACCACGCAAACAGATTTATATATTTACTTTTCATTTGGCAGGTGAATAATATTTTTTGACACAGGACTCAAAAGTAAGTTAAATACTTGAAGGGAAAATTGTTTTCGTATTTTCTGTGTATCAAGTTGTATTTTTTTTCGGTTATAGGTACTGTTTGAATCTCACTGGATATGACACTAAAAACACACAGGTAAAGAAACGTAGATGTGCTAAAATGGTGGAATAAGGGTATATGTACCATGTGCGCAATTTGCCGCCATTATTATCGTGTTTACTGTCCACAAGAATGAAGGAGGATTCAATAAATTTTGAAATTTTATGAGTGGGTAAAAAAAAAGGATATTGAAGAACTCCATTTAGTCCGAGAATATTGGGGAGAAGCAATTCGCTGTGATTCTTTCTATTCGCCTGATTTTCCAATTCCAGCGTCAAGTTGTCCTAAGCGATCTTACTACTCTCACTCTAATGGCGCGATTACACTTGGTCGTTAACCCGAATTCGAATGCCAATAAAATTCGGGTAAACGACTAAGTGTAAATGAACGAAGTCGAGTACGCCCGTATTCGGGTAGATTTCCTTTTGTTTGCCCTTCACCGTCTTCCAGCCCGTATTCTAGTGTTGATATTCCTTTGGATACTAGAATACGAGTAATGTCATTTGTGCACCCGAATCCAGGCTAACGACCAAATGTAATTGAGACATTACTACCAATAGTTAAAAAATACACAGAATTGACAGGGTCAATATTTAAATAATATTAATATAAAAACGAAACAAAGCCAGAACTTACTTGTCTGAAGCTATTCCGAAAGCTAAACTTCCGACGAGCACACCAAACTGAAACGCTGTTTGCGTCAGATCTTTCAGCCAAGCCCTTTCACATATCAAGTTCCATTCCATGACGATCGTTCTTGTATATTTACTTCTGTCATAGATCGGATTATCACAACAGCTTGCATTATTGTCAGGACAACGAAATTGCACTGGTGGGGCCAAAAATATAATTGACATTTGTAGGAAAGCAACACCACATTTATTCACAAATATTATAAAGCACAGGAAATAATGATATTTTCCAAAAGAACCGATGATTTCATTTATTAGCACCATTATAAATATTAGAAGCTAATTATATAAAAAAAACTTGGGTATTGGCAATTAATCAAAACGGCAGCATTGTCATATAAATCCAGTAGGCACCGACACCTACATTATCATCATGCCCTCATTTTAATACTACTTATCGCTCCACTAAGTATTTTTCAATTTATCAGGTACCAATAAGTTGTAATTTCTTTCCGAAGATACAGACAGCAGCGGCCACAGGGCAAGTTCCCCAAAATGTAAAATTTATCCAACTAATGTTGACCTTTAGATGTTACATCATATAAGATTCATAGTCTATTTATTTATTTCTACTAGAAAATTTAATAGATAGTGGTAACTTGGTGTGTGGCTGTCTATACTAGCACTCAGAGACGCCAAATTAATTCAAGTTGCCGCATCGTTTCTCGACAGGTATCTAATCAATGTTTGTTCATTTAAGCAAATTTTGTTCTAATACTAATTTAATTACACTTACGTTCACGTACTGTCTTCATCTATTATTTATTAAAGTAAGGAAAGCGACAGCACCAACTTTAATCATACTAAGAATTTGTTTGGCGTCGTTAAGTCGGTTCTACCCCTATTACTTTATTTAATATAGCTTGTAACATGTGTACGAAATGTAATGATACTAAATACCCCGTTAATAAATTAATAGAATAGTACCTACAGGAAGAGTGTTATTTTTAAAGAGCTCCACTTCTTTACACCAGCTGCTATGTAGCGTAATTTTTATTTATTACAATAAAATTATTACATTACCATGGCATATAGTCGACGATATTAAATATGTTTAATATCGTTGTATGTCGTTCTCAAGTCAATTCTGTGATTAATCCATTGTATTCTACCAATATAAGGATCGATTGTTAGCGGTCCACTTCTCTTACCTAATCATAAACATGTAACACCTCTACTACAGATACCTAAACCTAACTTAATACCTAAACTTGCAAAAAAGCTCTATTACTTCAAACTTTTCTTTTCAAAACTAAGCCCTTTTAGCCAGACAAACATTAAGGGCATATTACAGGGACATAAATTAACTATATTGTAAAGTGGTAACGATAATTTTCAATTTTCATTTGGGGTGGTAGTTACGGGATTTTAATTTTTCTTTGAGCAAAAATTTTTTAATCAATTTTGGCTTTGTCATAACTTGCTTAATTTTCGTACCCGAAACTTCCATAAAAAAACAAAAATAATGTTATTTTCAAGCACTCCCAAAAAGTATAGAACTTTTTGGGAGTGCTTGAAAATAACATTATTGAGTTTACCCCGAAAAGTGCAAAAGTTTTTGAGATATTTCACGTTGAAACTTTCGATTTTAGCGTTTGACGAACCAAGCTTTATCAAGATAATCACTCCGTTAATATTGGATTTGAAACTCAGTATTTTGTTTTTTATAAGCTACATTTACACTCCAAATGTGAAAACTTCTTTAGCGGCGTTGTACACTTTTTTTGAAATGGGTAAAAAAATGTTAATATCGAGTCAGGACACGTGACCTGAGCGAAAATTCGTAAGACTGATGGAGAGTGGACAGCCGGCGCGGCATAGGAGAGGAAGTATCCCCCTCTCGTTCTACGGCGCGGCGAAAATGTATGCCTGCGCCTGCTGTTTCGTTGGTGGCGCATGGCGCTTGCGCGAATGTTCGTGTGTGTTTATGTTACAGCGTACCACGCGCATCCATGGATGGTGACAGCTGATGGCTCGACGGTCTGTGTAGTGGCCACACTGCCGTGTATCCGTAAAATTCGTGTATATGAAATGTTACTGATAATTAAAGCAATTCGTGCAAAATTATTCCCTAACCTAAAAATGCGCAACGTTAATATTCAAGTTTTCACTTCTGCCGGCACTCCCGGAGTGCAACCCGTCGTTTTTTTTTTTCATAAAATATTTATTACAGATTTGTTTTTCTTATTGCAAAGGACATTGGGCAAAAATGTATGGACGCTGCACCCACGTCCGCCACGGCTTAAAGTACATTTGTTTGAAATGTATTATAGTCAAGATCATCTGTGCCAAAGCGCATCAAATTCCATCCCGGGGGTCTTTAGTTATTTTAAGTTTAATATGTACAAGTACTATAACGAACGCACATTAATGAAACAAAGGAATTAATTTAGTTAGTAAGTTCGACCCTACATAGTGTGCTCAGGAATTATGGGAGTACTTCACAAGGTACAAGCGTGCCCCCTTATGTTATTCTGCCGCGCTAGAGTAAATCCAAAAATCTTTTGATTTGATTTGATTAGAAAAGGGATTTTTTTAAACATTCTCTTCGTTATAGTAAATTGTCTTCTATGTAAAACGGAGCGACCACAAATTACACAAACTTGTCCACGCTTCGGAGAACACGCGATTTCAGTTCATCCATGCTAATTGACAAATCCAAAAATCGTGTTCCAATATCCAAAGCGTGTTAGTTAAAAATCAATCAAATAGCAGGGAGCGCACAATCACAACGAAGTAAGACGAGTCGACTATTTGCAACTGCAAGTCCTTCAGCATCCGTAAACCGTTTTGAAATGTCTCAGATAGAGCAAGGGCAGGATGGTCGGCAGGCTTTGTCGTATATCTGGTTGTATAGTACGATATGGCATATTATATGATTACTAATAATATAAAATGAAGGTATTATAAAATGAATTTATTCAGCTATTTAAATATGCCCATGTGTCATATCTACTGACTACCAGGATATTTTTTACGGTGTCATATCTTTTGACTCCCAGGATATTTATTTTCGGTGTCATAATAAAAAAGGCTAGTTTTTTATAGATCTATCGATTCATACTAATTACATTGTTGGCGGAGCTGGGTGCGTTTTGCCCATTGTCCTTTTACGGTTCCACCAAGGGTTCCATTCTCAAATAAGTTGAAAAATCTCATTACACGATTTAAAATAATACCTATAAAAGCTTGTCGCCGTAGAGGGTAAGTAGAACCTACAGCCAAATGTCAGTGCTAATCGGTGCTATTTGGTAGAATTACTAGGGAAACCGTCAATTTACTGGACTAATAAATCGGTTTTTTCCTTTGAAAATTCTGTATTTGGTACTCCTAAATAAGCAAAGTCGGGCGTTTTTTAATAGGTTTCCATCGTAATCCATTTATATATTTTCATTGTTAAGACTTTAACAAAATATCTATATGGAATACTTTACCATGGAAAAGAAATACTTATGGAGAGACGGAATCTTTTACAATATGATTTACTAACAATTATTTTTTATTTATTTATACATTTTGTACACACAAATATAAATAGACAGAAATGACAAAAAAAGATAGTAGTACAAGGGCACAGCTTATTTCAATCTGAAATTTCTTCCAGCAGGGCCATTGTAGGAAAGCACATTGATAAGGCAGTCAGTGTGTACACCTAATTATGATTAAATATAATAAGTGTATGTCCCCTATTCATAAAAACTTACGAATAGAGGACATACACATATAAAATTTATAAATAGGTACTAATAATAATACCATTATGTTTGTATCTGGTGTACTATAAATCGACGTTTATCGTATCGTAGTCGAGTCTTTAAGTATTTACGGTGTATTGTTGCACCTTTATTTGCGGTTAATGTATGCAAACCTTATTTCTGCGTCTGAAACAGACACGGAAACAGCTGTGTTAAGACTTACAGAGCACAGAAAAATTTCCATTTGAGTTGGAGCGTAAATAATAGCGTTCTGTAGTATTAGTGTCATGTCACCTATGTATATGACTTCCACTATTGTCATAAGCTTAATCAGGTGCTGTTTATAGATATATATAACTTATTGGTGCAGTTCGATCTCTATCTATCTAAACCATTTACAAAAAAATACACATTAGACCTGAGGTTTTTAAATCTCATAAACATTTTTTTTTTTAGTACAATGAGGGGGCGGAAGTGGCTCAGTAATCAGTATTTTATCAATCAAAACTTATCTATCAATGAAATGAAACAACAGAGACTTGGGTACTCACATAAAATTAAATTAAGCTTTTTTTACACAAACCAGCCTTGCACCGGAAAATATTTTTGTCTGGGAAAATATTTTTTACAGAAGTCCGCATTTTGAAATGTAGCTTGTAGTGCTATTGTCTATCTGTCGGTGTATCTATAAGGTTTCCAGTGCTCCACATGAATGAATCAGGGTGGGAAGAAAAGGAGCTATTTTGTAGATTATGTTTCTGTCGGTGGGAACACGCTAGTGATTACATTCTCTATGCGTGGGAGTGTTACTTTTGTGTTGGCTATGATGGCCGCTTATCATCAGGTGGAACAAAAAAGCTATGATATACATCTTCGATAACTACAGATAATTTTTATTTATATTTTTACGGGATGACTTGTTTTAATATTAATATATAAAATAATCAAATCTAAGAGAAACTAAGTCTGACTAGACCTAAATGTGATATTAACCACTAGTATAATAGTATATATAATAGCCTAGAGGATAATATGCACCGTTGTTTCACGAAATTGTCCATTGATTGTCCTCAATTTAAACTGAATTTACCTAAGTATAGCGTGTACAAGATTGCCATAATATGCTTATTATGGTAGACTAGATAAACTTAACAGACACAGATAGTTACCATTCATCCTAAACAAATTTTACAAAAAATGTTCATGTACATATTTTTTTATACTTAGATAAGTTGAAACAAAAATAAGCAAGCACTCATAACGAATGCGTTAATATAAAAAATGGTCATTTGGTTTGTCTCTTGCAATACCATGCTTTTCAAAGATATAAAGATATTAATCAAACCAAACTCTAACTGCTGACTGGGGGTCCGGTAGGCCTGTTCGCTAATTACTTTTGACAGATGAAAGTGATTCTTACCGAGAAATTAAGTGATCCACTACTCCTTTATTATAACGCCACTGAGATACTTGTTCTCAAAAGCAGGGATGGATATGCGATATATGATGTATATAATTTTCTCTTTAGTAGCGGATGATACGCGAAGCTATTGATATTAAGAAATATCCAAATTTCTATAGGGAAGATGATTGGTATAAACCACCAGCTTTGGCACCCATTATACAACAGATGAAATCTCAACCCCGAGCACACACTGCAAGACCAACAAATATTGTTAGTTCTTTTTGTTTGCTTGATTTTACATAAGAAGGAGATAGAAAGCCTCTCTGAGTTTGTTTCGCCGGTTCTTCTCAGAAAGGTCTCCCAATTTTGGTACCGGTGGTAGTTTACGGTAGTTAGGGTCAAATAAATAAACTCAAAATTATAAAAAAGAATTTAATAAAGTACCTACTTTATTAATTGAATTAGCTAATAAATTCATACATAGACAGACATAAAGTTTTAAAAATCTCCCAATGAAATATCCGAACGCTCAATAAAAGTCTTTCGAAGTTAGCTCGTCAAAGTAAATAAAAAGAAAAACATTTCGACGACGCATTCCTGCAAAGGATGCGAAACGTCAATAAATAAATAAAATCAGTGCATCTTACCCGTTGAAACTTGTTTTATTTAATGAGTGATGTGCATGAAAACCTAAGAAACAAATATACCTACCTTAAGTGAGACAAATTCAAACAATCAATTACGTACATATTTTTTTATTATAGGTTACACTAACAAATATTCCTCTGCAAGTTATTTACTTCTGCTATACTTTGTGACATCCGGTTTATTTTATCACACATTTTTATCAACAGAACAATAAGTGAGCCATTCCTCTCTTTATAATATAGTGGTCAAAACACTTGAGAAGCTCAAGGATGCGGTAAAATGTATTTTAAGTCCTTTATTCCAACTGGTTCTGTTAACCGAACTAATGGGAATTTTTTCCCACTAGTTATGTTAACAGAACTGGAATTCCCATGTAGTTCGGTTGAGATTTAACAAGGATTTCAAATATTTATTGAGTTCTAAGTACTGACTACTACTGACCACTTCATATCGTTGCTTAAATCATGAATGGTAAGTAGTCAGTACACTGAAAGTTGTGTGAATTGTAATCATCAAAATTGTTTTGGTCATAGGAAGGTATTGGTAAGGGAAGCTAATACATTCCCAACGTTAAGATTGGAGAGGAATCGACCTTCACAGTGAACTTTAAAACTCTGACTATAATTAATAAATTAACAAAAGTAGTCAAGATAATACAAACGTAATAAACGAAATAACTCACTAACATATCAAATGTTGAATTTACATTTTTGTCTTTCTATAATTTAATACGCAATGTATTTGGCTGAAACAACGATTTCGCTATATTGAGATCTTCATGCACCACAGAATAAAATCTCTTTTTAACATTATTTTTTCCTATATGTTATGGTGAATCAAATTAAGGGTGTTTTATAATAATTGTTTGAATACACATAGTAAAACAGTAACAAAAATTTACGACACTACACTACACTACACTATTTTATCAATCTATTTTTTTGTTCTTGTGATGGAAACGGTACATAGACTGCTTGAATGAATAATATTATATGGAAAAAAACGATTCCTCTTATAGTCTTTTTACTATAATTATTAGCTTGTGAAAGTATACCTGGTCATTCAATAGTTTCCTTTCACTTTCATTGTAACAAATTATTTTGAAGAAAATTGATTTACAATACGGTCTATGATCGAGCTAAGACTTTTGTTCGATTCAGGCACAATAACAGGACTTAGCAACTAAGCCGTAATATGGATGATGATTAACTTTTTTTCTTGGTCTATCAGGTAGATTATCAAAAAGGATTCGGCACTTCACTATTTACATAATCAAAACATAACAGAGATATATTGATTTAAATTTACGCATGACGTCACGTCGTGGTACAATTTTTACTTAGAAGTGACGTCACAAGACCCCACTCGCAAACTTAGACGCGCTTTATTTTTGACATTTCTGGTCGATTGATAAAAAATGACCATTATTTTTTGTTAATCTTATCTTACTGACGGACTTAATAGAATTTCATTTAATTTACCCCCTCATCATCCCCATTGTGATCACAATTTCGACCAAAACTTACGTTAATAAGTACCTATTAAATATGTATACCGTAGAAGATACAATGTTACGATATTGAATCATACATTTATTATATTGTATCAAATGCATACACAAATTTATAAAACTATTGTACTATTTACATTTCTATTAATGTCTAGCATTTAAAAATAGCTTATCATATTTTTAATTGGCGGCCGTAATGACAGCGATAATATTGTATTCGCTCCAAAGATCACGAATTTATTTCTAGTAAAAGCATTATCTTTGAACGTTGGACCACATAAAAGATAAAGTTATATATTGACACTTAATATTTGCACGGGAAATAACACTAAATGTAGTCATAATAGCAATAGGTAAAGTTTTGATTGGCAAAATGTCAAACGATCCAATGCAGTTCTTTCGTCGCGTGATGCTAAGTCCTTTAACAAGTACAATATATATTTATGCAAAAATATAATATGTTTTTATTTATTTGACTGCTAGATGTTTAAATCTAAAGAAAAGTTTTAGTAGAAAAAAAAACCACGCGGACCAGGCAGCGGACGGGACTCGAACCCGCACCCTTCGCAATCCGGGCGAATGCACTGACCAATTATGCTACCACGCCCCTGATGGCCGCGTCCTTTCCTAAATTTTCCTAGCCTTAAGCTGCAAGGCAGCGCCATCTCTTCGCATTGAAAGAAGAAATAGCAATATATAGTTATGCTTTTATTTATTTTTGAAGCATTTAACTGCTAGATGTTTAAATCTAATTATTAGTCAAATAATTGGTCAGTGCATTCGCCCGGATTGCGAAGGGTGCGGGTTCGAGTCCCGTCCGCTGCCTGGTCCGCGTGGACGTTTTTCTAGTAAAACTTTTCTTTAGATTTAAACATCTAGCAGTTAAATGCTTAAAAAATAATCCGCGTGGACTTTTTTCTAGTAAAACTTCTTTTTTTTAGATTTAAAAACATAATAGTTAATATAAAAATAAATTACTCTGTTTCCAGAGAAACCCGATTTTTTTTTTAAGTACCTAGTCATTTTATTATATCTAAATTTAACTACTATGTGTATCATCGTTTTTCATCCGAAGTCGATTTTATTTTCTTTCCAAATCGTTCGCCTTCCTCAATTGTAGTCATCAACTTACAACCTTTTGTTTCTGGCAATAATAAAGACAGACTGCCAGCAATGAGAGGCATTACCGCAAACACGAGTGGTGGCAGCCAGTAAGCTTTTAATTTTAAATCAATAACAAAGGGAGCTATCATAGATCCTACTCTGGCCATCATTGACGATACACCAAGAGCGGCATTCCGAACTACAGTAGGAAATAGTTCTGAACAGTATAAATAAACTACAACAAAAACGATAAAACTAGCCACTACACCAATACTAGCACAAATAACTGACGCAGCGCCTTGCGGTACAGCGATTAGCAATAGAAGAGAAAAAGCTGATACAAAGTTAAATATTAATAAAATAGTTTTCCTTCCTATGGCTTTTAGAAGAGGAATGGAGAAGAGAGTGCCGAGCAATGTAACACTCGCACTCGCAGCCACATTGATGAAAACGTCGCCGCTCAATTGGCCCACATATTGTGATACTCCATAGAAAAAGTAACTGCACGCCAGCCAGTTTATAGACATAACTATTATATTCTTCCTTAAGTTTGGTGTACGCACGAGATCCACTATCGTTCCTTTCTTCAAAGTATTACCCTTCAAAGATCTCTCGTAAGCTTCCACTTCTGTTTTAATATTGTCTGTAGGTAAATTATTTCTGTAACATATTCAAATGCATTAAAAAAATATGACAAGAATAATTTCCAAATTGGACTTACCAACAAGCAAGTTTATTTCATACTCACACTTTAGCAACACGTTCCAAAATTTTCACTGCTTCATCTGTTCTGTGAACTGCTATCAACCATCTTGGTGTTTCTGGTAAAAGACATAAGTAGGAAAGCAATACAAGCGTGGGTAAAGATATTGCTAATTGAAAATTTGAATAATCTCTGAAAAAATATCCAAAAAGGGGTAGTAACATATGACCCAAATTGAATGGGATTTGATAAACTGCTGATACGACGTCTCTGTATTGAGGTCCCATAAATTCCATAACAATCACAAATCCGATAACCATGGTTCCACCAACTGTTATACCCACAATTAATCGCATTATTGAAAAAGTCCAATAATTTGGTGCGAATGCTGCTCCTATACCAAGTGCTATTTGGACTACCACAGCCACCAGCATTGGTATTTTTCTTCCAAATCTAAAAGCAGAAAACGATTAAAAATATAATATATTAGGTGGATTGAAGGGAATTTCTTTTTGGAATTGATTTTCTTTGTCTTTTAATGGTAGGAAGTGTTAATAACTCAATAAGTTGGATCAACGCATATACACTTCCGGACACATCCATCGCCCGACTTAGTTTTATAAGTTTCAACAGTCTGTAGCAAAAATATAATTAAGTTAGGTTGAGCAATAATTAGTATATTTTTAAAAACACACGAAAAAGATTTAAAGGGAGATAGGCAAAATCTTTATTACTCACACATACATCATTAAAGGGCTTACAAAACAGATAGTAAACTATGGTGGGTAAAGGCGGTCTTATCGCTGAAAGCGCTCTTCCAGGCTACCTTTAAGTCACAGGATAGTTAATAAATCAGCTTTAAAACTGCGTTTTGCTCAATGTAACATTTTTAATTACATTTTCAGCGTTTTTTTTCATTTTTTTGCCATTTTTTAATAACAATTTTCAGCTAGGGACCGTCAAAACTATATAAGTTTAAAACTGCTAGGTGGGCCGATAGATGTGTCCTGGATATATAATACTATATCCAGAGTCTATAAAACTAACCATTACAATGGTATCTCGGAAAACCTGTGGACGGACGAGTGGACAAATATAGCGAAAATAAGGGTTCCTTGTCAACTAGGGGCCCTAAAAACGTAGAGTATCTATTGAAAATATACTTTGTATGTATCACTAGGGTTTTTCTAGCTCTCTTGATCGTTTTTTTTTTATTTATTTATAGTTTGCAAGCAGGCTTTAAAAAATATCTATCTTTTGTTTTATTTTTTCCATTGGCTGACCAAACCGCGGTCTCGTGCTGTCGCCATGGAAGGTGGAAGGGCTTAGATATTAGGAAAGTGTATTGCTAGGTTTACTCTGTCACTCGCTACTGTGGGTCAAAAATTATTACATAACGAAAAAAAAATCAGTAAGAAAATTAACTACAAAATTTAAACAAACATATCCGTGAACCATTTAAAATAGCTCAATTCGCAACCCGCAACATCCGAGTCCTAACGAGTCTACTCATTTAGCAAAATCATGCACGTAATGAATAATTTGTGAAAACTCAAAACGATTGGTTAAGATCCTTAGAAGATGTGATTTTGAACAAGCAAACGTTTATTATATTATGTATAAATGAAAAAAATTACTGATAATCTTTAGCTAATTTATGTCAACAATTGAATCAGGATAATACGCTGAGTTTTTAATAATAAACCGCTTGAAACACCTGTAATTTATCTTTAAATATTTAAGTACTAAAATAATATATCTATGTGGCGTGCAATATTGCAGGCCATGCCAACCAAAACAGGATGTAGTAACTCAGACCCATCAATATAAATGGCACCATTGTAAATGTTAATTTGACTTTTTTGGTAAAAGCTTTTTGTATTTTACGTACACTTTTTATAAGCCAAAGTAACATCAACGAAGTATACTTTAGTAGGTAACTGGCCTACATTATGTCAATCATAGTTGTTCAAACAACCAAACACGTATTGAGTACTTTTTGTAATTAAGGAATTTCATTGTTTGTCTCCGAAAGTACTCATCAAAACTTTACCAAATTAATATGGGACCACCTATTGGGCAAAAAAACTGATTTGAATAAAAATAAAGAATAACCAAAATCAGTCCACGCATCTTGGACTTACTGCGCGAACAACAATAAAGAAAATTGAAAACCTCCTCCTTTTTGAAGTCGGTTAAAAAGTATTACGTCATATTTCTAAATACAATGATTTTTAATAAAAAAGTAAAGCATACATTGCATCTACGTAAAAGGCTTATAAACACACATTCCGAGCAAAGCCTATTAGAATTTATATCAATAGATTACCTGTCAGAAGCCATTCCAAAGAAGACACTGCCAAGTAATGTACCCAGTTGGAACAACGTCTGTGAAAAGCTGGTCAGCCATCTATTTCCACATATTAAGTCCCATTCTGATATTATTGTGTTATTAAATATGGATCTGTCGTAAACTGGATTCGGGCACGGACAGACGTTTGGTTTGCCGTCACAAGTGTATGGAGTTTGTGGAGCCAGGAATATAATGGCCATTTGATGGAAAGCTATTGGAATTTTGCTTGCAAATACCAGTAAGCATAAGAACAGCTGGTATTTACCAAAGGCTCCAGTGATTTTTTGAATTAAGTCTACTCTTTGCGCCGCTTCCGTTCCTGTAATGTAAGAATATAGATTACCAATAATTAACATAGTTTCAACAAAAAATAATACTTTTATACATTAGAAAGTATGTTTTAGAAAATCATTTTGTATATCATAGAGGACATAAAGGGAAAGAGAGTACAGCTGGACTGCAACTGCAGGTGACATAAACATAAAACGCTAGTGATTACTTTCTCTATGATTTGGACATGTAATTCGTTTGGAACGAGTTTCAAAGACGAATTAGTTGGACCATGCTTTGACCATGGAGGATCATAAGGTGCGATAAATTACAGATTATAGCCCATGCATGCAGCTAGGAGGGGCAAGTATGCCCACCCTAGAAATCTCTCTGCCCACCCTTAAATTGGAGTTACATAAAATTAAAAAATAATTTATGAAGGAATATAGGTAAGTTTCACTGGACTGCTAGCCAAAGGGTAAGGGGTATGTAGGCGGCTGCGGTGCGAGGATATAAAGGTATTCGTTACTGACCTATATTTCGATTTGAGATTATTCTAGGGGAGTTTGCAAATCGTAAGTGGCATTATAATCCTGAAATGCAATCAAATGCAAAAATTGCATGAAAAGCATGCTTCATTATATAGAAACGGTAATATCCACTAAAATAAGCATATTAAATATTACCATCATTCTTCTATTTGACTTAATTAACCTTTAAAACAAGAAATTCATATAAATGCGAAATTAGTTCTGTTTGTCTGTCTATAACCGTAATTAGTGAATTTTATCAAATCTTCCCAATTATTTTACGCAGACGAAGATACGGATGTCCACTAGTAAATAAAAATATATTTATAGTTATTTTATTAGGTATTTGAAATTTTTGCGCATATTTTTTTTAATTAAACTTATGTAATATAAATAATCGTTTAAAATGGAAAACTTAAGCACCTATTAACTTGTTTAAGTTTTCAATTTTCCCTTATTATTTAGCCAAACATGGTAAGTTACCCATTGAGTTCAAAGATTTACATCGATACAGCACTCCATTCATTTCGAGAATATATATAATTATTAAGCACTTAACTGCAAAATTGAAATATCTAAAATATTATACTAAAATAATCCACATTTGCCCAGGTGTCAGGCAGGTGCCTTTCGCTACCGGGCGAATGCACTGACCGCTAAAACGAGGCAATGCCACTTCTTCACATTCATTGTTGCTTTATCGGTTTACTAAATGTTTTTACAGAAGTCTAATGTTCAGCTCCATTGACTTTACTGACATTTTTTAATAAAAACTCTCGAATTACGGAGCGTCTCGGTGACAATAAACAATTTGTTTACCAAGCTGGTAACATTACCATTACTAGCGCCTTTAAGTAAAGTTTGTAACTGTCGACGACCTCCGTGGTCGAGTGTATTGTACGCCGGGTTTCATGGTGTCGCCGACTCGAGAGGTCACGGGTTCGAATTCCGGTGGTGGCAGATGTTTGTGTGATGAATACGAGCATTTGTACTCCAGTCATGGATGTTTCATATGTATTTCTAAATAAAAATATTACAGATAAAAATTTACTTATATATGTACAGTATATGTATTGTATCCGTTACCCTAGTATCCCATAACACAAGCCTTACAGTGCTTACTTTGGGGCTAGTCTAATTGGTGTGAGTGTTGGAAATATTTATTTATTATTATGATTATACTTGCACTTAAGAATATTTATGACTTTTTATGGTGCAAAAATTTGTCTAATTTATCGGCTTGATAAGACATTAACCAACTATCATGTGATTGTGAAGCGTTCTTTTGATTTAGTTTGCCATATATTTTCTCAACGATTATTTTCATATTAATTGACCGTATTACACATTTATTAATTAATTGACCAATAACTTGTTTAAGTAATTGACCTTTTACAGCAGCAAAAATATCAAATTGCTCCAAACATTAAAATAACTAGAACATATTATTAATGTCATTTGCTTAAAATACGGAATAATGACGCGTGAATTAAGGTCAATTATGCAGCAGCTGTAGAGAAGTCGCAAATACAATCAATCAAAATGCATGCATTTTGAATAGGTTACTTCAGGATGCATTCAATTAATGACAATTTAAATCCAAATGATAATCTGAATTTTACATATTCCAAAATATATAGAGCCACATTTTGAACGACTTCTACCATTGAGTAAAATATAATGCCAATTTTTATTAATAGGTCTGACACATAACTCCACCCCACCTGATGTTAAGTAACGGTCCAGTCCAGATGCGAAGATAGCTGGTACAGCATTGTTACCTGACACACCAGGCATACTTACCTAACCAGCTTGCAAATTGCTTTTTCACGCCTCTTAAAGGTTCCCGGGTTTTAGGACAAAGGGAACACGTGAACAAACAAAGCATTCCATTTGCGGATAGTACGACAGAGAAATGTGTTACCAAATTTATTTTATCGAATTAGAATATTAGTAACAGTAAGTCGGTGATAAGTTGGCCAACGCGCGTGGTCCTCTAAAGGAAAGGGGAAGGCGGGTAAAGGGAGAATAACTTCTCAAAAAACTCGCTATGGTATACACAATAGGACGTACTTAATGACGCCACATCACGGCGTAATTGAGGAGGCTGAGGTGTTTAGTCACCTATTCATCGCTAATGATGCGGATCGCGCGCCGCTGTAACGTATCCAAAACATCGTAAACACTTATTAGAGATGAGAGCAATATTTCACGCAGGACCACACTTACGTCGTGTGTAATAAACACAGTTGATCGGGCGTGAAAAAACGAGGCACCTTGTTCAAAGCCTTTAGTGCCTTTAGTTTCGTGAAGCTGTTTTGTGCAGCAGCAGTGCTGTGCGAACTTCCATACCGAGCATTTTGATATTGCTCTGTAGCACTAGTGTAGTGCCCTGAAGAGAGAGAAGAGGGAGGAATGATGACGTTTTAGTCGTGAAAGCGCAAACCTGGTTTTAGCATTGAACTCAAATAAGTTCCTTGTGCCCCATTCGGAAATGTGGTCCAAAGCCTGATTGAGCCCAACTATAATGTTGTTGTTGGTAGTATATATGGTAGCAGATTTATTTAAAAATAATTTTGGACTTGCATCACATTTAAACTGTCAGACTTGTGTGTGCGACACTGAGGTTCAATTACAACCAAATGAGACAGATATACAAATTATTTTTACTGCAAAACAGGTTACAGATGTTATTAAAATATGGTTAGAGGTAAATCTCCAGGACACGATGGCCTCAGTGTCGAACATCTGCGTTTTGCTGGAGCCCACCTGCCTAGACTTCTGGCTATGCTAATTTCTCTGTGTATCAAACACTCATATATTCCGATTGAAATGATGAAAACTATTGTTGTACCAGTAATTAAAAATAAAACAGGTGATGCTTCCGACATGGGCAATTATAGACCCATCTCCTTGGCTACCATAATAGCTAAAGTGCTGGACAGTTTGCTTGAGGCACATTTGAATAACCACCTGAACTTGCATGATGCCCGATTTGGTTTTAGACCAGGGCTATCTACTGAAAGTGCAATACTGTGTGTCAAGGAAACTGTCAAGTACTATACAGAGAGGAAAACACCAGTATACGCTTGCTTTCTTGATCTCTCAAAAGCGTTCGATTTGGTGTCTTATGATATTCTGTGGCGGAAGCTGACATGTGAGACCACTGTACCAAGGGAGATAATATTTCTTCTAAGGTATTGGTACAGGAACCAAATAAATTATGTGAAATGGGCAGGGGTTCATTCTGACAGGTATGGCTTAGACTGTGGGGTGAGGCAGGGGGGGATCACCTGCCCATTGCTCTTCAACCTGTATATGAACCGCCTTATAGTCGAGCTCAGTGGTACCAAGGTCGGTTGCCATATAGGTGGTGTCAGTGTTAACAATATAAGTTACGCTGATGACATGGTGCTACTGAGCCCTTCGATAAGGGGGTTGAGAGTATTACTGAGTAAGTGTGAGTCTTATGCGGTGGCCCATGGACTCAGACATAATACTACCAAGAGTGAGATCATGGTTTTAAAACGTGAGGAAAAGACCTTACTGTGATACCATCTGTACATCTCAATGGAAAGCTATTAAATAGGGTATCTCATTTCAAATATCTGGGTCACTGGCTCACTGAGGACTTATGTGACATGTTGGCTCGGAGATTTGAGCGAAGTACTTTAGAAGTGAAATTGACTTTATTTAAATCATACTGCCAATCATTCTACTCGTGCGGTCTCTGGGTTGACTATACGCAGAGGGCTTACAACGCTTTACGTGTACAGTACAACAAAGCGTTCCGGGTGCTGATGGGGCTGCCGCGTCGCAGTAGTGCTTCTGGCATGTTCGCTGAGGTAAGGATCGATGGATTCCATGCCATTATCCGAAAGCGATGTGCCTCGCTACTGAGTCGGGTGCGCGCCAGCCCCAACAGCATCCTGTGCGTGTTGTCGGACAGGTGGGAGTCGCCTTTACTCCAACATTGGGTGGGCCTCCATATAAGAGATTAGTTAATTAAATTGAAATGTATTACTAACATAGATTAAGGAAAAATGTTACTAACAAAACAAAACTATGGACACTAGTCTGAAATAAAATTTTATTATTATTATTGTATGATTGTCCCGTTTCTCCTGGTGTACCGAATGCACTGTATTATCGTCTGCATAGCAATGAATATTCCCAAGAGGAATTAATTAAAGCATTGATGCATTAAAAGAGTATGGGGCAAGGGCGGATCCCTGGGGACCACCGGCATTCACTAACAAGAACTGCGAACTACATTCGTCCATAACATGGTAAGGACGCAAATAATTTGCTCACGCAGGAATTCATCCACCCAGGCACAGAATTAGCATCAGGTAGATAGTCAGATAGACAGTATACAGGAAGCATGGAGAAGAAGGCTTTTGTGCCAGACCCTATCAAAAGCCTTGGTGATATCAAGGCTGATAGCCAAAGAATCACCCCGCTTGTCTAAAGCCTCACCCCAGATGTTTGTCACGTATGCTAGAAGTTTACCCGTCGATCGATTCGGCCTAAATCCTTATTGACTATCGTTGATCAGAGAGTGGTCTTCTAGGTAGAGGGTCAAATCATCAGATGGTTAAATTAAGGACCCGTTCTAAGACTTCGTGCAATGCTGAGGTGACACCTATCAGCGGTCCGTTTTTTGAACACCTTTAAAGAATTCCACTTACGAATAGTACGACAAAGAAATGAGTCACCAAATTTCTTTGTTCGTGTAGGAATAGTGGCCACATTAAATCGGTGGCAACGTAGGCCAGCGCGCGTGGTCCTCTGAAGAAAAGTTGATGAAGGGATAAGGGAGAATAACTCAGAACACTCGCCGTAGTATAGTCGGTAGAATGCGCTTAATGATGTCACATCGCGGCGTAAATGTAGAGACTCGAGTTTCTTAGTTACCTCTTCATCGCCAATGATGCGGGCAGCGCGCCGCTGCAACCTATCCAAGGCATCGAGTAAGTACTTAGCGGAGCCATCCCAGAGGTGCGAGCAATATTCCACGCAGGACCGCACTTGCGTTTTGTACAACAAGCGCAGTTGATCGGGCGTGAAAAAACGCCGCACCTTGTTCAGGACTCCGAGTTTGCGTGAAGCGGTTTTGAGCACGGTTTCGATGTCCTTTGAATCCTTTGGATTCAGGTCTGAGCAAACTTCTTATACCGAGCATGGTAATGTTGCTCTGTAGCGTCAGTGTTGTGCCCTGAAGAGAGGGAAGGGGAAGGAATGGAGATGTTTTTGCCGTGAAAGCGTAAGCCTGAGTTTTCTTGGCATTAAACTCAACCAAGTTCCTGGTACCCTATTCGGAAATGTGGTCCAAAGCCTGATTGAGTTCAGCGACAAGATTCTCCCGTTTCTCCTTGGTTTACGTCTCTGCGTGTCCAAAGTATCTCGCATGCACTGTAGTATCGTCTGCATAGCAATGATTCGTCTTAATCATAGGAGAGCTACTAAAGATATGATAGTTATCGAAATTCAATATGGGGAAAAGTAATAAAATATTTTTTAATATGTATTTTAATTTTTAGGTAAACCATAATGGTTCTCTATCTCTCTATTTCTTGTCTCTAAATTATTTTTTATTTTAAAGTGCCCATATGTTAAATATTAGTAAACGACAGTATCTTGTCAGCTTGTTTAGGTATGTATTACAATATCATAGATAAATGATTGGTCTCCCTGCGTCATCTAAATATAATATCCATCTGTAATTTAGATTATTCCATAGATAGATAGATACTTTCTTCATCATGTGAAATATTTGTAAGTCACCTTATCTCACATACACTTTAGAAAAATATGTCTCAATTCATATTGTTTTCAGTTGGCTGTCATGTTGAAGGTCGGTCGACACGGTTACTTGCGTAGAATTTCATGGACATTTGACGTGAGGGATCATACTATAAGTGTAGTAAATAAAGTATAACTATTTCCCTTTACCTAAAATTTGCAAATTACAAAATAACTTTTTTGCTAATTATTGGCCTTTTAAATTAGAAAGATTATTTTAGATTATTAAAGGCTGATGTTAATAAATTAAACTACAATGGCATTAATTGAAGCATCCTCTACATTATAAACGACCAATGAAATCAACCTTGCTTTTGGTGATTCAGTGTTTCAGTCGATGGATAATGTTACAGCCAGGTAGCATAAGCACCTCGTTTATATCACGCTCAATTGTCAAATTACTATGGAGTTTGACAGCTAGGCGAGATTGAAAACGTGATATAATATTAATTGTGGTGCTCATGCTGCGGGGACAGCACCCGACAAAGTGATGGGATCAACAACAAGGGAGTATCATTATAAATTAATACCATACAAAATACGCAAGTAAAAATGAGCAGGAGCAAACCACATACGGAATTTCCTAGGCCTGATTATCGAACGAAACGGCGGAATTTCCTACTTAGACAATGTAAAATCAAAAGAACGAGTGCCACTTTTAGATGGTGCTATACACGGAGGTGCTATACTATGAACGAGTCATTTACTAGTTTGGCCATAAATGCTGTTACAATTAAAAAAAAACATATTTTTTATTACACTAGCTGACCCAGCGAACTTCGTACCGCCATAAAAATAGGGGCAGGTGGTAGAAGAAAAAAATTAGGAATGTATGTATTTTTTAATACCACATTATAAAGCAAATAAATATTGTCCAAAAATATTTTAGGGGTGTGTAACGTAGTGTTCTATCAATTTCCTGGGATAACATTCCTCCTAACCCATATGAGAACAATTGTAACGTATACAATACCCAATAGTCTGAATTTTGG